GCTGTAATCGTTTATATTCTACAGGCAAAGTGGACCTTCTTTTGTGGATTTAGTATTATTAATACGAGATATGTGTCAGTTTCATGTGATGTCCAACGCCTTTCAGACTCGCAAAATAAATGGGTCTATTCGCGAAAACAGATGACAAACATGAATACCGCTAGGCTCCACATAGTGTCTGGGTAGAAAACAAATGAAGAATACAATCCCTGTATACCTTTGCAAATAAATCCCAATTCTGGGGCAACCTTCTCGCCTTATCCCACAATTTTCTCTATTGTAGGAAAAATCGAAAAGTTTCATGTCTGCAACTTGCCGTCGACTTGAGACCTTTCGCGGTTACTCCCCTTTTTTACTTTGTGGCGTCGAAATTCCCGAGTCCCGGGATGTAAAAACCGGCCAAAGTCTATTACCCGGGACCCGGATTCCATAAGTTTGTCAAATTCCCGCCTGTCAGGAATGGTCTTCTGTCTAAAGCCCCGTGTATGCCCGCCGCCCCCCCCCCCCCGGTAGGGCAAAATATTGACAGGTGCAATGTGCTGACGTGTAAGTAAAAAAGACAACACACACACAAAACACATTTTGCTACTTTTATGACAAATCATTTCACATTAATCATATTTTCCTCAACATTTGACTTATTCCTTTCCATTTAACCAATTCCTTCGCAGCCATTTTACTCTTGCGTAAAACGTCACTTGTATATACTATAAAATGTTCATACAATTACTTTATCTAGCCAGTTTTAATGTATGTAAAATGGTATACATTTTTTTGATGAGTGACATGCATGGACTTAGCTAAAGACAAGTATAACAATAACAACAATATCAGATAACTTATGTTTATATTTTTAAGCGGTTTGTCGTAGCTTCATAAGAATACTTAGTTACAGGATTCCGATTTTAAATCTAATTTTAAGATCTATATTTAATAAAAAGCAACATGGTTTCAATTCAAGTAAAATGGTGTCAATTATTCGTCGGCACAATAAATTACTTACTGAGCAGAGCATATGTTACATTATTATGCTTACCTTCTTCAATTAATATAAAAGTGCTCTTTGATTCTTTGTCTCATTGGTCTTGATCATTGTGTTAAATTGCTTTATAGCCGGTAGCTGCACGTTCTTATATCTCACATCGTAAGATATTTTATAGCATCCTTGTGATATTACGAGGGATGATAAAAAAAATAACCGGACTTTGTACATGATTCTTTACCTGTTAAATGAATTTAAATAAAAATACACGGAAAATAATTCGGAATCTATCACATAAATGATACAAAAAATACTAACAAGAAACATTAACAAATAAAAAAAATATGCTGTAATTGGCATGTACATGTAAAGCAATGCGGCGCACGGTTTAATTTGAAATTGACGTGAACGACATGCGTATTTTCTTTAAGGGAGCAGCTTTTTACTCATTCACAAGGCAAATACGTGGTACAGTCATGTTGTTGATGCGGCGGACCCACTGCCTATATATATTTCTGTACAAGTGGGTATCATATTGTATCGTAAAAAAAAGGATGATGATAAAGAGCTCCTGTAATGACGCAAATTTCCGTTCTTTCCTTCTGTAACTTGATTGTTGGAAAAATCGCACATGCAATAAACTACTTATATTATGGATTACAAATACATGAAGTGTCAAATAATGTTGCTGAATGATAATGTATCATACAAAAGAAAATAAAAAAGAATAATACAACTATGAACAAAATTGTCATTATTTTAAAATAATTAGAACGCATAGCCTATTTGAACAGTGACACAATTTCTCCATAAAACTACTGCGTAAAATAAGAAAATAATTGATACAATTGTAAACCAAGAGTACAATATATATATATATATATATATATATATATATATATATATATATATATATATATATATATATATATATATATATATATATATATATATATATATATCAATCATTTATTTTTATCATTTTAAAATCCTTAGGGTTGATTGCACCGTCCCGTAGCTACTGTCGAACATCGTTGACAATGTCCGCAGTCAATCGACTGTTTTTTTTATCGTCTTGGCTTCTTAATGCTTATCAAAAAGTTGCTGTGGCTTTCTGGAATTTTTCCCTTGATAGCCATAATCTTTTTCTACGTTTTAAACAGTTTCTCGTCTGATTTTTGACAAATGTTTCTTATTGATCGATTTTTGAGACATTCCGACGACATAGTTTTAACGGGAATATTTCATTAACATGGACGTTTGAATTGTGATTGCAAATATAAATATGGTTTAAATGAAGTCATTTTACTGATATCGTCAAAGATATAGTTCATGACGTTTTGGCGTATATATATTAAAATCTAAATGTGCCATATTGTGAAATATACGCAGCTTAAAGCGCCTGATGTCAAGGCGAATTTACACACTGCGCCGGGTATGCGTTACCATGGTTTTTGTTTCAGACAATCTTTTTGCATTATCAGATTAGATAAAGCATCAGTTTACAAGTACTGTTTTCCGATTTAGTGTGATATATAACAATAAGTGATAGGTTGAAAATTCTTCAATTGACAGTCACAGTCCGGTTTATTTTGAGCATCCCTCGTAGTTTAAACTATTTTGATTAGTAACGAGAAAGTTTTATTTACAAGAAATTATGTTAAATTTACTATCATATGGCTAATTAACTAAAATGTTTATCATGACATATTCTAGAAATCTTATACTTTCCATATTGGTATTGAACATTCTACTAAAACGAACTTATCTAAAGTTTAAATTTGTCATATTCTCCTTTTTCCTTAAATAACCATTTTAACTATTATTCACGTCCTTAACTAAACAATACAAACCGGAAGTTAAGTTTTGAGTATCTCCTCGAAAGATAATTGATGTTATCACTTGCATTAATTGACACAGGTTTTCAGCTACATTTAATTTTAAGGATCATTCAAATATTCTTGATCGTTCCGGTTATTTCAATGAAAATGTATAACATTTACATAGTACATATAGTTAATTACTTATTCTTGCATAACAGCTGCGCGCGCATCTATACATTAACGGAGAAGAAAACAAGCATAAGCAAGCACGGGCAGTTTCTGATTGTTTTTGCGTTACTCAGGGTACATTTAAATAGTAAAATGCAGTGCCAGACCCGTTAATTTCACTAACAGTAAAATAACATCGTGTTCACATGTGAGAAGCATGACGAGACTGGTTTCTTTCCAAAAACAACGAAACGTGAATTTCCAACAAACGTATATTTTCATGTCAGAATAGCACCGTCTTACGTGCGAATAGCAAGTGCATCTACAGAAGAAGCTTCGAAATATAAATGTTTTAAATCACTCGTACTGTTGGTTTGGTCTTCAAATGTGTTTCCATGCTGCAGCAGATGCACAAAAAATTGCATTATTCCTCTATTGTGGTCATATGTTAATTCCCTTCCACGTAGCCAGGGATTATAGGAATGACTTCCGTCTGTCAGTTTGTCCGTCTGTGAGTCCGTACACGTTTGTGTCCGCTCCATATATTTAATCATTATGTGATGATGTGCAGATTGCAATAATTGGGTTGCTGCCCCTAAGGTCAATGTCACACTTAAAGGTCCAGTGTAAAAAGTCTACACATCATGTCCCTTTTTATAACTTTTGAACCGCTGATTTAAAAAAACAACAACTTTGCACAAGTGATAACCATTATGAGATCATATGAAGAAAGCAATCATTTGGTTGCTACCCACAAGGTTAAGGTCACGCTTTAAGATCAATTGGTAAAAGTGTACATTACATGTCCGCTCCATAATTTTTTTAACTACTAGATATTTTTTTAAATAAGTTGACAAAGTGATCACCATTATGCGACGATGTACAGAACGAAATAATTAGGTTGCTTCCCACACTTAAATGTCAAGTGTTACAATGTCTACATTTCATATCCGCTGCATAAATTTTAACTACTGAAATTGTTTTGAAATAACTTTGCACAAGTGATCACCATTATGAGACGATGTGCAGGGCACAATAATTGGGTTGCTACCCTAAAGGTCAAGTTCACACCTAAAGGTCATGTGTTAAAAGTATACATGTTCTGTCAGCTCTATAACTTTTAGACCGCTTTAAAAAAATAAAAATAACTTGGCACAAGTCATCACCATTATGAAATGATGTGCAGGTTGCAATAATTGGGTTGCTACCCCTAAGGTCAATGTCACATTTAAAGGTCCAGTGTAAAAGAAGTCTACATTTCATGTCCGTTTTGAACCGCTGATTTGAAACAAACAACAACTTGGCACTAGTGATAACCATTATGAAATGATATGCAGAGAGCAATAATTGGGTTGCTACCCCCATGAATAAGGTCAAATGTTCTCTTCCATAACTGTTGACTTTATGGAATATTTTAAATAACTTGCACAAGTAATTACTGTCAAGGTCATAGTTTTTTAAAGGTCAAGAAGTACACATTCATGTCCGCTGCGGAATGGGATTTAGCTGCCCTTCAGACTGCCTTGTTTTTATTGTGTGTAATCTGTTATTTGCATAGCGCCAAAACATAATTATGTGAATTTATACGTGTGTTACATGCGAATTCAAGTAATAAAGGCAATACTGCTTCTTAGTTTTTTTAAAAAAACTCAAAAAGAGATATCTGTCTTTTCACATTGTTTTTAATTGTTTTGTTGAACACAGTAATAATAGCATTGTCGTTTATTTTGTTCGTTATATTTGAATTCTATTTCATGATCATTAACTTGGCAAGTGGCGAATGTTGATGTGAAAATATCTAATGAGGAAAAAAGTAGACACATCAATATTTTAACTGTGCCTCTTATTTTAAACAACATTCTCAGTGAAAGAAATTCTGCGAAAAGATTTTTCGTATAACAATGAAACAATCGCAAACGTCTCTACTATGTCTGTGTTCAACAAAGTAATAAAAGAAAACAATTGAAAAGTGATATTTATAATATCAGTACATCGTAATTCATGTTGATGACTAAGTGTACTTGAGAACAGCTAAGTATCTTCCTTTCTAAATGTTTAAGCAATTGTCTAGTTTATTTGGCATATTTTATAAATCAAATAAAGTGTGAAAACAATTGTTTTATATTACTTTCGAAACAGTATGACATTTCTAACGCAAGTCGGTGTATTGTGTCTTTTATTGTGGAATATGACCGGTATGTTCATTTTTTTATAACGACAGCTCAAATAAAAGATTTTAATTATTTAACTATGAACTTTTTTATTGTTCGGGAGTTATGTTCAATTAATGTCTTTCTTCACCTTTTTATCACTTTTTTACTAGTGAAATTCTTCTTTCATATATTCTTAGCAATTGTTAGTTTCCATGATTCTGAGTATAGTTCGTATTTTTTTAAGTTTGAAATGTTTTTTTATTTATTACTCTTTTACGAAAACCAGTAATTTGCCAATGTGCCTTTTAACGAAGAAAAAAAAGTATCACAAATAATTCTTCATTTTATAAAGATCACGCATTAAAGTATGATAAAGATACTAAGCAAAAATATGTTGGATCCCAAGCCACATAGAACAACTAGTAAAACGAATAAGTAGGTATCGGCTTAAGAATCTTTCACTACTCATATTTTTACGTAAGCTAGTTACAATTTTTTAGGAAATACAGGTAGATAACAAACCAATCAACACAACACTCTATTGGACTATTTTCTCTTTTAATTTATACCTAAATTAGGAATTAAAATGACTAAGTGTGATTTTGACTTCAGAAAGTCAAAGGAATTGTTTTGTATACCGTCTCATTATAAGTGACATTTCTAACAAATTTCCTAAAACAAAAAAAAATTATATAAATAAATGGCACTTCATGGTACAAAACGAAAACAATATCACTTATTAATGGTCATGAGTGTAACTACAACAAGTAAAAACATAATAAAAATAAAAGTAATCATGACTGTAAAAAATAAAACCTTAAAATATGATAAACAAGATCAACAAGGAAAGGCGGCGTTCAATGAATTTTAAGACAAAATATAAGAAGACAAACTAAACACAGTGAAATAATAATCAGTTTGAAAGACTTTATATAAAAGATATCGAATACCCAAAGTTAATATTACTAAAATGAAATATGTACCAGGACATTTATTAATATACCCAAACATTAAACAAAAAAAGTGGTCCAGAATGTATAATGACATTTCCCAGCAAGGCACAAGAACTTTGTTTTACATTCTAATTAATCAAGGAGACAAGAGTAAAACTTATATGTGCAATCTAGAAAAAGTGAATAAATAAGATTAAAATGGATTAAATAGTAAAAAAAACAACTTTTTACACTCTACAGTAGTTAAAAGTGGTTATTTTTTTACAGAAACATTGAACAGTTTCAGAGTGGTCGAATTCTTATATCTTGTGCTATTTATTCCATTGGAAGCAATCATTGTAGAATTTTTTACCAAACCCTTTCACTTAAGGAATTCTGACGCAAGACCCTTAACCTAACCTGATATTATGAACAGAACTGGCTGGAATAAAATGGTCATTAATGTAAAAAGGAGCAGAATCATTACGTATTTTAAAAACCTGATAAGGAGTGATTTACTTGACCCTGCTTGCAACAGGTAACAATCCTAACGGCTGAAAGTGCTCTTTATTAATGTGACTTCTTTGATGAAGTTTAAGTACAAATTTAATTATCTTATTCTGAATGGATTGAGGTCTTTTTTCAGATTCTGAAAAATACCATAATACCAAACAAAGCAGGCATAGTTAAAATAACATTGGATTAAAAACATAACTAACATTTTCTTGGTATAAAAAGATAAAACATTTCTTAAAATAGAGAAAATAAGAATCCCTAAAGAAAGCCGAACACGGCAAAATTGAAAATGTTGCAGGCTAGGTTTGATTGTGTCTGTTCATGGACGGTACTGTCAGGTGCAAACTACCGTCAACGCCCCCTAACACCGGCTTAAGCAGAATTCAGCATTTAACATGAATGGGTACAATTTTGAATTTTGAAACATCCGCAGATGTTTTCATATGGCGGTTATTATGGAACTTTCAGTGTGACACGTAAGTGCCATTCCATGAAAAACGGCGTATGGTCCCAAATTAAAAAAAAAGCGTGTGCCCTAAACGAGAAAACAATATGCGAAACTAAATAAAATGGGATTTTGAAATGGGATCAGAGGTTATGAAGCCTGCATATCAAAGATAAGACGTCAAAAGACATATTTACAAGGCAGGCCACATATCCTAAGGGTGAATCAACAGTATTCCAGAAAGGAATACTGTTCAACTGTATTCAAGTGAGAAATACTGCAAGCACCTAACAAGAAAATAGCCGAATAGAATGAACTAAATTACAAAAAGCACAACAATAATGTCGTGCTGAACGATCTTTAAGGATCGGAAATATTACATCTCTGATTGAATGTACGGGCGACTTTTTACAGCCTCCACACAACACAAACAACGCTGATTTGGAGATAAAATACAGACAATAAGAATCCCTAAAATAGATAAATACAGAATCCCTAAAGAAAGCCCAACACGGCAAAATTGAAAATGTTGCAGGCTCGGTTTGATTGAGCCTGTTCATGGACGGTACTGGAAAGTGCAAGTTACCGTCCACGCCCCCTAGCACCGGCTTAAGCAGAATTCAACATTTAACATGAACTGGTAAAATTTAGAATTTTGAAACATCCGCAGATGTGTTCATACGGCGGTTATCATGGAACCTTCAATGTGACACGTTAGTGCCATTCCATGAAAAGCGGCATATGGTCCCAAGTAAAAAAATGCGTGTGCCCTAAACGAGCAAACAATGGGCGGAACTAAATAAAATGAAATTTTGAAAGGGGATCAGAGGTTATGAAGCCTGCGTATCACAGATAAGACGTCAAAAGACAAATTTAAAAAGCAGGCAACATATCCTAAGGGTGATTCAACATTATTCAAGTAGGAATATTAGAACCACCAAACAAGAAAACGCCGAAAAGTTGAAACTAGAAATACCACAAGCACAACAATAATGTCGTGCTGAACGATCTTCAAGGATCGAAAATATAACATCATTGATTAAATGTACGGGGAGACTTTTTACAGCCGCCACACGGCACAAATAACACTTAAGTCTTGTATTTGACTGTTTTAATGACTGATGAAACTATAATCACAAAGCTCTAACTTTGGTCTTAAGTGGCTCCTAAATATTTGACCGACTCGGTGTGCTTAATAGAAATACCATTACAGCTGTACCAACAATATTAAGGTTTGGTTTTTTTAGCCTGAATGTTGACCCAAATAGAATTGATTCTGTTTCCAAAGTTGTAATGACAATTTGTTATCAACTAATTAGTTACTAATTTGTTGAAGGTCTTTTGTTAGCAAATTTTACATTAACATTTACTTAAAATTAAAATAGAAAAACAAACATATGTGTACAATAAAAGTTTGTTCTGTACAACATCTTCCATGTCATTGACATGAATATAAAAAAATGGGGAACAAAAATCGAGACTTGAGGTAAGCCACATTTTTCATCAAATAATGAATACGTGTCAGATATATCAATACATTGTTGTCAACATTGTTGTGAACCATCTGACAACATCAAACCCGACATTTTTAATTTGTCTAAAAGTATAGTGTGGTCAACAGTACCGAAAGCTTTCAGCAAATCTAATTAAATGCCCCGACAATTAAAACAATTAGTAGTTGACACACAATTTCAATCTTAATTCATTCGATAAAGCATAAACAAATTTACAACACATTGTCTCATTACCGTTAATATTCTGCCAAGTAATTTTGACTTCCTTCGATCGATTAAAGAAATACAGTGGATATGAAATTGCTCACGACCTGGCGACCGATTTTAACATTTTTTTCGCAAACTTCTTTCACAGGTATTAGTACCGTGATAAATTAATAAACAACATTTACTTGATCGCTTTTTTCACATTTCGGATGCTAAAATGATTTATGAAAACTTACTGTGAAGTGATCACTTCTTCTTTGTACGGGAACGGATATCTTTCTTGTAGTACATAAGTGATAAAAAATATACGATCTATACTTTATAACACAAACTGATTTATAGAGTAAAGCTAAATTTACGATTACAACATGGCAGTTTTTATTCAAAAAATGGTAAGTAATTAGTCAGGCATTAAGTACAAGGTAAAAAGCTGAATTTAACTTTGTTTACAACATAGACGTTGTGTCCTTGAGATTCAAATCAAAGGCACGTTCAAGTTGCCATCATCTTTGAATAATGCATGTTTTAGAAAAATGCATTCAGTGAATTTTCAACATATGTCTATCATCTTTTCATTTTCAGAAGAAATTATTGGCACAGAGAAGTGTCTAAAGAATGACTTTTCTTGTGGTGATGGAAGGTGTATCCGCTTTGAGTGGAGATGTGACGGTGTTGTAAATTGCTGGAATGGAACTGACGAACAGAATTGTAGTAAGATCTACTTCCTTATGCCATTTTTTGTTTCAATTGTCTTTCTTTGGATAAAATATGTTTTCGTATGAACAGTGCAGTTTTAAGTGAGCAGTCTGAGGCCACCACTTCTGACCGACCGGTACAATTGGTTGTCTGCTCAATTGCAATATCATATCGCTATTATAAGCAGTGATTTACTGTCGGTATATATCAATTAAAATGGAGTTCTAAAACTTTACCATCGTAATATTAAAGCATGTTATCCCAAACCATTTGTGTTAAACAAAGTTAATGCAGATCAAGTGTGTCGCTTTGTGTTTGTGAGCATGATTGTTTAGACATGTCCTAATATTTTAGGACCATGACAGTCTACTCATCATTACTCATCATTACTTAGGAGTGATTTACTTTGGTATTTATTAAGTTATAATGGAGTATTAAAATTTACCATCATTATATTTAAGCATGTTATCAAAAACCATTCATGTTCAACAAAGGTAAATGCATATTAATTTTGTGGCTTTGTGTTTGTAAGCATGATTGTTTAGACATGTCAATACCACTAACTGTGATGATAAATTACAATACCAAATGATGTTACTATTTTAAAACATTTACATACTATAGATGACGTATGATGGTTTTTCTTTGTAGTAATATTTTTATAACATTTGTTTACTTCATAACATGATTAATTGATTAACAGATACATTGGTATCAGAATACCATACCATTTGTCTTCTGTTATAGCAAAAGTATGTACGCATGGTCAATTCAGATGTGATAATAAAACCAAGTGTATTCCTAGCACATGGCAATGTGATGGTGAAGTGGATTGTGTTGATCATACAGATGAAAGTAATTGTACAAAAGTCTGCACATCAACAGAATTTGAGTGTCTCATGAATTGGGAATGCATTCCTTTGTCCTGGAAATGTGATAATGACCCGGACTGTACAGATGGCTCGGATGAAGGCGACAACTGTAAGAACATTTATACAAAATATGTATAGATACATGTACAATGTATATTGAAAAAATCTACTTATTTAAACGTCCTACAGTTAACTTTTATCAATTAATAATTTGATATCAGTTTCCAAAAAGTTTGTATTTCCTTGTATGAAACATTCATTCTATTTGAAATATTAATTTCGGTATATCATGTTTTATTTAAATATCAGGTCATGACATATGCAGAAATGACCAGTATATGTGCGAAAACCATGTTTGCATATCAAGTAGAATGAAATGTGATGGGAATACGGACTGCTTAGAAGGATCTGATGAAAAGGATTGTCGTAAGTTGAGTTTTTGTGATAAGATAGATGTTATACTAACTTCTTGATGCGTATCTTATACAGTAAGTGATATATGTTCATGTAATGCTCATGATTATGTAAATAATTAATACTTAAATTATTCACAGTTATAGCATGTCCGAGCTTTTAAGGTTTAATTTACAACATCATCTATTAACATTTTGTGTTTTGATATTTAAGTTTAATCAATATGACATTGTTCACAACATAGAAGTAGTGTCCTTGGGATTCAAACAAAGTTACGTTCAAGTTGCCATTATCTTTGAATGATGCATGTGTTAGAAAAATGTATTCAGTTAATTTTCAACATATGTCCAGCATCTTTTCATTTTCAGAAGAAATTGTTGGCACAGAAATATGTTCAAATAATGACTTTTCTTGTGGGGATGGTTATTGTATCAGCAATGATTCAATATGTGACGGTGACATAGATTGCTTGAATAGCGCTGACGAACAAAATTGTCGTAAGACCTACCGCCCTATACCATTTTTTTTATTTCATTTGCCTTTTTTTGATAAAATTGGTTTACGTATGAAAAATGCAGTTTTAAAGGAGCGTTCTCTAGACACTCCACTACTTAGGAGTGATTTACTTTGGTATCTATTAGGTTATAATAAAGCTTTAAAATTTACCATCATTATATTTAAGCATATTCAGAACCATTCACGTTTAACAAAGATAAATGCATGCTTTGTGTTTGTGAGCATGATTGTTTAGACTATTTATTAGTCTATGTCATCAAATGCTAATACAAATGTTGCCTAATGTATATATGTACTTACTAAACATGACATTTGATAGTTTTTTTGTTTTGTTTTTTTTCCCTTTTAGTAACATTTGTATTACAATTATCTACTTCATAACATGTTTAAAATAGATTTTTTATCAGAAAATCATACCATCGGTCTCCTTTGTAGCGAAGCAAATATGTGCAAGTAATGAATTCAGATGTGATAATGAAACCAGATGTATTGACATCTTATGGAAATGTGATGGTGACTTAGATTGTGTTGATCATACAGATGAAAGTATCAATTGTACAAACATTACAAACATTAATAAAGTCTGCACATCAACAGAATTTAAGTGTCTCACGTCCGAGGAATGCATTCCTTTATCCTGGAAGTGTGATAATGAAACGGAATGTACAGATGGCTCGGATGAAGGCGAACACTGTAAGTACATTTATACAAAAAATGTATAGATACTTGTACAATGTTTATTGTAAATATCATCTACTAATTTTACACTTCCTACAGTTAATTTTGATCAATTAATAATTGAAAATCAGTTTCCACAAAGTTTGTCTTTCCTTGTATCAAACACTCATTCTATTTTAAATTATTCATTTCGGTATAACATGTTTTATTTAAATGTCAGGTCATGACATATGCGGAGATGGCCAGTATATGTGTGAAAACCATGTTTGCATATCAAGTAGTTTGAAATGTGATGGGAATAAGGACTGCTTAGAAGGGTCTGATGAAAATGATTGTCGTAAGTTGAGTTTTTGTGATAAGATAGATGTTATACTAACTTCTAGTTAATTACATAATGCGTATCTTATATTGTTAGCTGCATCACTCATGATTATGTTAAAACTTTATACTTAAATCATTCACTGTTATAGCATGTCCGAGCTTTTAAGGTTTAATTTACAAACATCATCTATTAAAATTTTTGCATTTTGATATTTTAAATTTAGATATATCAGATTCTATTAAGATGAAGTTAAAATGTTTAATTTGCTATTACATATTGTTGTTAAAAACTGAAGAAAAGCATTATCAATTCATCCAGAAAGATTTGTTTCTAATTGAAATGAAGATGTTTGTTCAGTTATTATTGACACCATCTAGGCTACATCTTGTTTACGGTTGTATAATTTTTGAAAAAAGTGTCGTTCAACTGACCGACGCAGTCCTATTACGAAATATTAGATAATACTGAATAATAGTGCCTTTCAATACATTGCAGCTGTATTGTTGTTTTCGAACATTTTCGTTAAACTGGTGAACAAACATATTTAACATTCGTATATTTTAATGAAACTTGGCAAAATCAACATCCATATATTTGTTTTAAAAATGTGATTAAATCTTTATTCTAACACTATCGGAAATTTTCCTATATAGACAAAGAAGGCCGGAAGCGTGCATTATTCTACAATAATGCACTCGCCGTTCTTATTATCTCCCTGTATATTTTCACTTTGAGGGCGCCAATTTGTTTAAAAATCTGATAAATAAAAACAATTTTTTGTCGAATTTTGTTGTGAAAACTATCTAGAATGATAGAAAATGGTCTAACTAAGAAAATGAATCCGAACACCAATATCTTTAATTCAGTCGTTAACGCTGTACAGACGTTTAAAGTGTTGTTTACGTGACGTCACAATGTAGCGCCAAACAGCACGTGCAAAACAATCAAATCAAGTACGTTATTTTAATATCGCAGACGAGTTAGGTTTTACATTTATTTCACTTTTAATAATTTGTATCTCGCTTGAAAAATTATAGAGTGAAATAAAATGAACAAACAAAGTTTTATCAACGTTTTCAAAATTCGTTATTCTCAAAATGTTTCTACACACAGCAGATTTAACGACAGTTTTTTTTTCAACCCACTGGAACAGCCTTTAAAGAACGTTTCTATTGGAAACTCTGAGGCGAAAACAAATTTAATCACCAAACATAAAGTCCAACTTTATAATAATAATTATACTTTTTCTTGACGTGTTAGAATGGAAATAGATATTAATTCTTCGTGCATTATTGTATAATAATGCACGTTTTTTGTTCAAATGCGTTGTAATTAATCACTCAGGCCTATCGGCCTTCGTGATTATATTACTACGCATTTGAACTCAAACCGTGCATTATTCTACAACAATGCACTCAGAATTGATATCTATTTCCTAATTAGAAACGGAAACTTCCCATTTAAAAGGAAATCAACCTCAATATTGATAATGACTTCCATTGTTAGAAATGCAGGCAGTACATCTCTGCCTCATCGACAACACAATACAAGTATTTGTAATGCGTTGTTTAGCAATGTTGTTCCACACCTCAATCAAGTTAATCAAATTAAGAAAGATCATTGATGTTTCAATGGGCTTAAATATCATTGATTTTAAATAACAAATAAAATCAAGGACAATGATATAGTTATATGAAGTGTGTTCCATTTACTCCTAAAATATCAAAGACAAAAATAATATCAATTTAACTTTATGGAAGTATGAACCTACCATAGGATAGTAGTTTGATCCCGATTATGTCGTCTTTAAATAATTACAAATGATCAAATGAGTTTAAAACTCATTAGTCCGTCCGCTCTATGTCCGACAATATGTGCACTCCTTGTCGTACTTTGATCTTATATTTTTAATTTAATTCAAACAAAAATCGTTACATTAAGAAAGATTAAATCACTTTTTGACTCTCAATTCAACCTTAAACTTGATACATGTCCGATAGTTGATGGCTGTTACACTTTTAACAATATAATTTTTTATCAATTTAATGTGTTTCAGTATTTTGAACGAAACGACATTTTATCAACTATGTTTATGATTATTAATTAGAAGTGACACTCATAATATTTCAATTTGTACAAGCAGGTAAACTAAATCATAGAACATTTTAGATATAATGAAGCAATAATAAAAAACAATAACATTTATTACATGAGAGAACCAACTTTGTTGTTCACATTAACGATTTTTTGGAACGATATGTAATTATACAGAAGTGTTCCTATGCAGTTTCTATTGCAGAAATGACAACTTTATCATCTTACCCTGAGCCAAGCTCTAGTACAAGCACTATCAAGTTTATTGAGAACAAAGTTGATACCAAATACTATAGCAGATATAGCACCGATATGCTTGCAGATCCTGTCGCCAAAATGACAACTTTATCGTCAGGCTCTGACCCAAGCTCTAGTACAAGCAAGTTTATCGAGGCCAAAGTGGACAAAGACAACAAACGGATATTCAGTAATGTCATCACTCATCAATTGGAAAATAAAATCTGCATGAAAGTGCAAACAATTTTAGAGCATTAATAGATATGAAAAGACTTTTGAAAAATAAGCTCTTATTGTAGAAGAAACTTATATTTATTTATCGCTCATGACGGATGTAGCGATGTACAAAATATAATAATCTCAGATAATCTCAATATAAGCCAATCAGCAGAAGAACTAAAACAAAACAAAATTAAATAATATGTAAATGCACCTTCTTATTATATTTATTTTAACGTTCTTATCCTTTTTTTTAAAGTCCTGGTTGTGTTACTCTCAGTTGGTGGTAGTGTCATCGTGATTAGTTCGGTCGCTGCTGTTATTTGTATAATAAAGTTAGTTAATGTTAAATTACTTTCATCTCTATAACTGTTATTCTTTTCATTTATAGTAATTTCATCAATAAAAGGATTGCGAGTTTGTTTGGGTATTTTTTTATTTTGCATTGAAATAATGTTCAAGCATTTCTGTATTGTATAAAGCATGAGTGACATTTCTTTGTTGCTGATTAAAACTGCATTGTCAGTACCTTAACTTATCAATGAAGTTACAAACGCATCCTTAAGAAACAGGGTTTTCTCCCTGAAATAAAAGAAATTTATTCCCTTTATCATTTTTTAAAAAAAGGCTTTAATGGTGTAATTTGAATTTTTAACAAGGTTTTTAAAATTTTAAAGGCGCCGCGAAGAAAAAAAAACAAATCCAAAAAATAAAAAAAATTTCATACCCAAGTTGGACGTAAAGTCCCAAAATACACCTACATGTGCAATTTTAAAAAATTCCTACTTAGGGCATAACTGACACAAATTAATATGTATGAAGGGCTTGACAGGCGTGGAAATGCTTCATCGGAAGATCTGTACCAGCAGCCTTGGTTATAGCAATCGGAGATATCATGTCTGTACATCCAGAAAGGTAAATATACAAGAACGTGTTATCAAAAAGTCGATTGTTATATAAACAGTCATCGTTTGATTAGCATGATTTCAATTTTTAACAAGAAACAAGTAATACTTTATCATTTCTTGATTGCTTCAATGGGCTCTGTGAAGGTTATTAAGAATTAATTTTCTATAGAGCTTCGTGTTAGCGATGCTGCATGCAACACCATATATGGATCAACACCAACAAAAAAATGACAATTCCCAATCTTAGGAATATCTTTACTTTTATTTTATTTCAATTAGAACAATAACTTAATTGTCCGCTTGTGTCGGAAATAATGCAGAGAGGTCAACTGGAGAAAACTAACTGATTACTTACTTTTACATATTTTCACGATGCGTATTATTTTTTATTAAAGCCGTTTTAGCACACAATTTAGAAACACTTTCAGTTGATTATTTGTAACAATTACAATGGTTTGATTAATGACAAATAGTTCATTTACAAGTAACTACTGTGTTTTCTTTAAGTAACGCCTAAAAATCCCCGGGCCAGCACCACTTTTAATAAAAGTAATATATCAGACCTCGATATCCAATAAATAATGTTTATTATACTACATGCGGCACATAATATATCACAAAGACGAATTCTTGTTTATTTTGATGAAACTTTCTTTTTTTTTTCTTTTGTTTTTAGTGAGTATGTAAATACTGGTACATGTTATCAACAATCACACACGGACAGACGAGAGTGTAGCAAAGATAACAATGATGAATATGAAAGTTTGTAAACTAATGCAATAGAGAGAATGCATTAATTGTGAAAATAGAAAAAGATTACGTAATGCTAAATACTTTCATTTTGTGGACAAAAGGTTAAAGTATAAGCCTTATCCGGTAACTGCCATGTACTTTTCAATGGGATATCATGATGTTTAAATTTCAATGTGGGTTTTTTTTCCTTGGAAAAAGAGCCCTTTAAATTTCTCCTTTTTTTTAATAAGGGATAAATTTGTTTAAACACAATATTTTTCCAGGAGGGGGGTTGGGGTTTAGTACGGGATGGAAAATTCCCTCGAAGTTTTTAAACCCGTGTGGTTTTTAAATTTTAAAAAGATGTTTTTTTACACGCAAAAAAGATAAAAATTAGTTCCCCATTTTGGGGTTTTTTTTCTATCAGGGATGACTAGGGAAATTTTTTTTCTTGAAAAAAGTTTTTGAAATTTTCGCCCAAACCGGTTCTACAAAAAAAACTGATTTGGCAACAAAAAGGTGACCTTTTATTTTCTACTATATTCACGTGATTTATCTCTAAACATTTCAAAATTTGTATTGATAAAAGTTACACTTTTTACATAGGGAAATTATTTATTTCTTTTATTTATTTTAAACCCCCTCCCATTTTGAGGGAACAAAATTTTTTTTTTATTTTTTTAACCTTTTAATTTAAGCATCCTTTACATAACATTTTTAAAGACGGGTTTAATCTGGTGTCATATTTTTTATTGTTACAAAAAAAATGAAAGTTTGATTTTTTTTGTTATTTTGTTTAAAGAGATGTTGTACAAAATTGTATTTTTTTTATCCGTTTTGTTTTGAAATAAAACAGGGGGAATAGTCAAGATTTTTTTTTAAATTTTTTTATTTGCCGGTAAACTTTTCCCTGCTCCTAGCAGGATTTTTTTTAGACTTACATTTCTTTGATCATTCTGTTGACCTGATCTTGCATTTTTACACTTGCTAGGAAGGGATTGTTGTTATGAAAATTTTTGAATAAAACCTCCTCGAAAAAAACGTTATTTATCTTAAACGGTTTACGAACACAGAAATGAACCATATTTCTTTACAACGTTTCACAATAAATATTAGCTTGGATGGAGCTTAAAGAAGCGGCTTTTGAAAAATAGCTCTTTTTTGAAAAAAAAAAAAAAAAAATTTAATTTTAAAAAATGATTACCCTGGGAATAGAAATAAAAGGGGCTTTAACAAAAAACCGCCGTGAATAAAGAGAAATATGTCTTGAAAAAAAAGGTTTTTTTTGAAAAAAAAAAAAAAATTAAAATTTTTTTGGGGTTTTTATTAATACATTCTTAAAAAATTTTGAGCGTTTGCATCCTTTTGTGAAAAATTCCAAAGATAAAAAACCATTTTTCGATACAATCGTACACCAAATTAAGGGCCATTCGGGGGTTTTTTCCATGGGGTTTCTGGAGTCAAAAAATCCATTTTAAATTCGTATTGTGCCATCTTGCCTTTTTGTTGTGCGAGCCTTAAAAATCTATATTTGACTTGTAGTAATAAAGTTATGTCCAACTGTTTAAAGAAGTAAAGAGGTAATTGTTGAGAAGAATATGGATTGTTGGCAAGCGCATCGTCATGAAATGTATAAACCTCAAAGTCTCTGGTATATTTGCTATTTGTTGTTTTAAGTAATATCTAGTAATGCGCACGAAAACATTCAGCTTTTAATAGTGCAAAGTTGTTTTAGCATTTAATAAAATGTTTTGTTTCCAAAGTTTAGATAAGAAATATGTTATTTACTATTGTTGATAGAGACCATGCATATAATATTCAGAAGCAAAGACGTGACAAAAAATCTTGGAAGTATGGGAAAATTAAGAAACCAACAAGCCCCGTTCCTAGTTCAGGAAAACAATAAAGCATCTCAAGCAGAGCTACTTCCCAATATTCAGACGTTGACTGTTTCTTCTCTCACTTGTGATAATGGAATAATATGTTGCTCTATTTATGAAAAATGAAATAAATAAACAGCGAATAGCATTAGATTTTCATTTATTTGTTATAGAATGTTTTCTTTAACATACTTCAAATAACAAAAGTACATGTAATATGTTATCACAAGAAAAGAAAATTTATATTTCAAATCACAGCCAAATGTCATACATTTTAGATGTATATGAAATAATATAGTAATACTAGTAAGCATTTAAACTAGGTACCAAACTAAATGCATTTTGACTCCTCGGGTGATTACTTACACACCAATTATAATAGTAATAGTACGTTTTTCTTTATGATCTGGTATCCTTGATGTCTGTACAGGCTTTGAAAAATATTCACTTCAAATAGTTACATCAAAGAACAAGTAAAGTAAAATAAGATATTATACCGTAGTAAGTTGATATATTATCATTGACAAATTACAAAATATGTATTACAGAAATACTGATTCAGTTAGTCAAGTCATAAAGTAATCAGTCCAAAATCATCTTTTCCTGTATCAATACGTTTGTTACTTCTGATTCGATTTTCATCAATGCTTTTGTGTTGCTTTTACATTAACTTACATTATGATCATATTGAATGTGTAAATACGCTAGATAAGTCCAGCCGGGAGTACGTCGATCTTGTATAATCAATCTTGTTAAAATTTAAAGTTCCCCTTATCTCAGATGAACTCTTACGATACCGTCAGAGTGAACTGACATGGCATGAAGAACTAACATTTTCAAAAACTCCTTCCGAAGAATAGATACAGCTGGCGACAGGTATTAATCTGAAATAGACAGGATATTATATATATATGAAATTGAGTCAAAACTGTACAGAAATATGGTTCATGGAAATTCAATTTTCGAGTGCTTATATACAAATGTCATAAAAACAACTTCAACCATCGTAAAGAATGAGTTAAAATTTTTAGACACTACAAATTACATCGAAAACATGAGCCTATTAAACAAATCATAATTCAAAAAAATGCGAGATCCTCGATTCAATTTTCAATTCTACCAATTGAGAATGTTTAATGCAAGATATCTCAAGACAAAATAACAATGGAATATTTGTACATAGTACCGAGAACCACCACATTCTTCGTGCAAATTTTGTTTTAGGTATTCAGGTAAGACACCTACTTTTCCCACTTTGACAGTCCGACATCTTGAAAACGTCTACACATTTACGACCGTACAGCATGCCACACAGTGTAAATGGGACTATGGATATATACAACAATCGCTCAACCATATGAATAGTCAGTTTGTTTTATGTATGTCGTATTGGAAACATTTATTGTGAGGTATTTTGAAATGGTTAAAAAGAGAAATAGTTATTTAGCATTTGTCGAAACAAGGATAACAATGGTGAATTTTTAATTGTTCTTCCTTATCTTATCATATGCTGTATTCACGTTAAGTAAACTCATGTTATTTATGTCGTAACCATAAAAATGGGTAATTCATAAAGTTAATAGATTCAAAACTTTCATGCGGAATGTTAACTACGAAATATCCTATACAATATTTTGGGAAAAGTTTGTATATTTTAACATCATTGCATCATAATGACAAATTGAAAATGAAAATTGTAATTAATTACTTGATAGCAAGAAAATAGTAAATACTAAACATGTGAAGAACTGGGCGTCTCATGTGACACGGAACTATTTCTATAATGCGATAAACCGCCAATCGGCAGTTTGCGGTCGTCAATATAAACCATGCACATTCGCCATATTATATTCCCTTTATATAAGCACGAAGATCAATACATCAGCTGATATTTACTTTTCTTTAAAATGCCCTCTATGCCTCTAAAATGCTATCATTTTTATTTATAAAAAACTTTCTATTTTTTGGTTTCTTGGTGCAAATTCAAAAAAGTATATATTCATTTGCTATAAAGATGACCTACGTTTGCTTCCTTTGCTCTGTTGGCAGTTGATATAATTAAAGTCAAGTGAGTATTTTGTCTGGCAGTCAAAATACAACTTGTTTACCTTTTGCTACTTTTGATAACATTAACGCACATTCAGCGCTACTTTCTCTAGCTGATAAACATCTAACATGCTCTAAGTAATAAAAAGAGCATCGAAACACGAGGCTATCTGATTTGTACGAGGGGGGCGTCCTTTTTGTATAATAAACAAAAATAAAAACACGTTCCCTGTTGTCACAATATGAAACCCAAGAAAAGGTAACCATAGAACGAGCATCTAAATATGATATTTCTATTGATATCACTTTCCCAGTCGTCACATTAAGTTAATTTAAGAAAGAAAAAAGAGCCAATGAATGATCATGCTATGGTGTGCGGGTATCTCCAGTTAACGCACTGTGCATGTAAATGTATATGATTTAACTCTAAAATTTTCAACAGAAAAGGTCCCAAATTATTATATAACTTATTTAAAGATCCTGTTTGTTGTTATTAAGGTTGTAACAACATTTAAGTGAAATTTTATATATGTATATAATTATGTTTCTAAAACATTTTTCAAACATCAAAGAATATGAAAAATATGTACTACAAATATTTGTTCACCTTATATGTAATCATTAAAATATATGCATTCATTTCTTATTGAAAAATTTGACTTAGACTTTACAGAAAATAAATTTCAAATTACCTACTTTTATATGTATGAAATGTAAATTCGATAATATCTTTACAAAAATTGCTTTTTAGAACATACAATATTGATAAATCTTCATTTGAGCATTTCATTTATGTTATAAAACCATAAAAAATTGAGTAACACGATGTTTAAACATTATTTAACACTTGTTTGACATTTCTAAAGAAGTGTTTGTTAACATTGTTAAAAGACGCATACATGCATGCTAAATAGATAGGACTCGATATAGAGATGATGCACTTTAGAAATACTTTAGAGATTTACCCACTTCTTTCAAATGCGTCAGTTACGACTGATGTGAAACAAGATAATAACTTGACATAATGTGCATTATTATTCATGAAATGTCCGTTAAAGATATACAAATATTGCGTGAATCGTGGATATCAACTTTAATAATTATTGATAGTAGAGTAATAATTCAATCAATGATGAAGTTCAGAAAATAAGTGTGTTTATAAAGTCAATTAATATCATTGTCCCCTCCAACTCTGTTTAATGCACCCAAATGAATTTCGGCATATGATGTCGTCTAGTCGTCCGATTGTTCGTTAAAAATTGTGTTTCCTGTCGGTATATTTGAAAAGATGGAAAAAATCAAAACTTCTCCGCAGACATGTTAATCATAATGGGGCAATATTCAAAGTATACGTTTGGATTCCTTGGTACAAATCTGCTCGGCAACATTTGGCAAAAAAAATCATAATGTCATTCAAAAGATTATTAAGTATATATCGGAGAGAGAATACAATGTACAATGTTTTCATTGTTTTATGCTAATTATATTAAAAGGGATAATTTTTTGTTAGCACTCAAATTATCATTCCATACTATGTATACTCTGTCCTTATAAATGATAATTACACACATGAAGGTGCTTGCTTAATCGTTTCCTCAGGTATGATGATAAAGATTTACTTCTACAAATTATTTCAACTTTTTTTAAGTTGTGTGTAATTAGTGCTAGATGTCTTGGTTATGAATTGTGGAAATCACATGAAACAAAAAATACAAAAGAGTCTTAACCATGCTCTGTGATGAGATCATGTTTCGCAAAGTAATGCAACAAGAATATTCACTGAACATTTTATACAATGACATATTTTCTAGTATCTTTTTCGCCTCACATAAGTAGATACCAGACGTGAATAAAATCAAGTCGTTCTATATCAATCAATCAATAAATCAATCGTAAATCATATCTGCGGTGCATCGTTATATCTGACGCGTTATTCGATTATTACGATTGGTTATGTGGCGAATCATTACATTACCATTCAAAATGTTGGTTCGGTTTAGAACACCTTTGAAAAATAGAAATCTTATTCGTGTCATGAAAATCATTTCTGTGTGATATATTCACTTTTTATTTCTTTCCATTTTACGCTCGACAGCATACATTTGATTCTCATCTTTGATTGTTTTAAACTTTTGAGAATAGAAAACATACATATGTTATGAAATCACTCAGAACTGTGTGTTCTGAACACTTTTTCACCCCCCTTTGCCACTTGCAGTATAAATTTAATTCTCATCTATTTGTATTCCTTTTCATTATCATTATTCCTTACTATGTCATCTTCTTTTTCGTCAACAAGAGATTTTAGGAAATGTGATTTTACCCAGTGGTTATTTTTCTTACACAATGCACATGTTATTTAAACTTTATTTCAGTTACTACTTTCAACGTTGTATGCGATTGTATGCCGGTAAAGTTATCAACGTCTATAGCAACGTCATCTACATACCCTCATCCAATAGTTGTTACTGACAAATATGACAGAAGACGACAATAACATTATTAGTATGTATTCAATGATAAGAGTAATAATTCGCTTAGAAAACTAGCATTCAATGTGTCATATTTATTTCCAATTCATATTTCAATAGTTCAGGGAAAATCCTGTAAACATCAGTATTGCTTCAAGTTTTCAAGATTTTATTGTTCATTCAATACACAATGCAAAGGGAATATAAGGTTAATTACAAATTACAAACAATTGACGAGGTATGTATAACTCACACACTTCATCATATAACATCATTTCTACATGGACAGGAGACAGTATAACATTCAGTCAAAATGGAACGAGTTATTTAAAAAAACAATAATCAAAATTCAACACAATGTTTAGTCAATACTTTCCTAAGAGTTTGTCAACACTTTCCAAACATGTTTATATACCACATAATTGGAAGGGTCAGTGTTCATGTTTTAATGATTTCTAATGTAAGCTCTTTTATAATTTGTTAAAATTAGTTTTATTACCAAAAGTTGACATCATCGTTACTTAAATTCAATTGCTAATGGTTTTGTACCAGTTTTTGTCATATATAATTATATAAGAGGTAATTTTCTTTAGACATAAAAATATGCTTTAAAAAACTTAGGCTGCACTCTTTTCTAAATTGCCAAATCCCTAACTTTTACAGCTTTAAAAAAGTAAAGGTTTAACATTTTTGTAAAATCGATCTATTTGAAAATTCAAAGGTTTGACAGAGATGTTTGGACTTTTTTATTTAAAATACATGGCTTTGTAGCTTGTTTGGCAATTTTTGCTTTGTTTTGAAAAAAAATGAGCCAGACACCTGCATATTTGTATTCATTTACGATTACTTAACTTTAATTTTTGAATGTAAAAGTATAGTAAAGTTATCTTTCCCTTAAAAAAATCAAGAACTTTATTTAGGAAGAAATTATTTAAGTTTTCAAGCATCACAGTAATCAGCGGAGATATTAAAAAGGTTTTGCAGTTTTTCCTGCAATATCTGTCATTAAAATGGTGCCATCTGCCTCAAGTATCATGAAAAGCTTATAAAATATATAGCTACAGTGTCGAACTCATTATGTTGAATTTTACACCTCATGAATTATAACTGATGTAGATGAAATCACTAAGAGAAAAAATCAGGAGAGATAAATTTTCACCCTGTCTGATACCCACATTAGAATAGGAGTAATCTGCTTTTACTCTATTTACAAATATGCATGACTAAGCGTTTTCATACATATTTTTATAACCTTTATGAAAGATTCATATATTGTTAAGAATAAGTTTTCCCCAAAGATTACTCTCCAAATAGTATCTAAGTGTGTATTTATACAACAATATTGAATTTATAAAGGAAAGTTTCAAAATCTATTACCAACATGAAATTACCACTGTATTATCTAAACGTATATTCAAAATAATCATAATAGTAATGTTTTGTATTTCAGTACCAATTGTGACTGCATGTATCGCTGCTTTCATCTGCTTGGCAGCATTTGTAATTCTTATCGTTATAATTTGCAGAAGGTTAGTTCGATAATTGTTGATATGTTTTTTGTTTTGTATTTTTTATATTTATATACCAACATAGGTTTATGTGTTGCTTGACAAGCGAAATAAAATAAAAGCCATGTCAGATCAATCTGACTGAAGTTTACATCTATTTAGGCTATTTCTTGCACGTTGTCAGGAGAATGACTGCCTTGATGTTATTTAATCTAAGGAAAGATTTAGTAAAAAAAACAACAAAAAACAAGAACCAATTTCGAAGATATCGAGGCTGGGACGCAACACCTAACTTAAATTTTAAAAAAATCTCAGTTGGAAAACTAGCATGTAATTGTTTACTTAACACTATTTTTTAAGGTGTTTTTATCTTTTTCTATCTCAAATCCATATATACATTTAAACAACAAACTCTGATTATTACTTACGCCCAAAACAAAGAACTCTGTTCATTATTTACACCAAAAACAAACACACACCATTTATCAACCATTCATACAAAATATCTTTTCACGTATACGTCTTGCATACGAAACAAGACTAGACACCTGGCGATCTCAAGCTCTAAACAACTTATGATCAAATAAAACGATAAAATATCATCAAACAAATCATCAACAAATCATCTTGACCAGACAGAATCACTTCATACAACTCAACCAATATCAACAAAGTATATCTTACCAAACAGATAAACCTCAACAACCAAATAAAATACAACAACCAATACAACTTATTACAAGCAATGAACCCTGTTCAATTAATATCACCACAATTAAATTCAACCAACTTTAACAAATCAACAAAACTCCCTTAAAAACAATTTTCTCTTCTCTTAAAAATAAACGCTACACACTATAAATGTGCCTTCCCTAACTGATGTAATTTTCCCCCAAAACTCGCATATTTGCTATTTGACATTCACATGTACATAACGTTTATACCATAGCAACAGGTTTAAAAATAAACTTTTCATTGAAGCAGGAAGTCATTAACTCGTTGTAAAAAGGTATCTACCGTGAAACTGTTATTATTCTGAAATATGAAGTTCTGATTACCACAGTATTTGTTTTGCCTTTCTTCGGATTTCCCTTGAAAGCTATTTTAGCCATACAATCAAGTTCGTTTTACAGATTGACATTAGACGAAGTATCAAATATCGTTTTCTCTGGAAGTAATTTTAATTTTTGTTAACTTATATTTTTTTTAAGTTTGAAGTAATTTGAAACAAATAAACTGAAATAATTAGACTCAATTTTAATGTGATGATTGTTTTTCCAGTTTACCTGCCGGCTATATGTTAAACGCTATGTTTGTTTTCGAAATCGTGGAAATTACCTACTCAGTGTAAGTTAAGTTTGAAAACCGCATCCCTTTCACAATTATGAAAGCTCGCCAAAGATTGGCCAAAACAAAAAAAAAAGAAAATGTTATAATACATCAATTGTATTAAGTCAAAATATAGATAATTATTATTATTATTAATATGATTATTATTATTATTATTATTATTATTATTATTATTATAATAAATATTTCTGTATCAATACAACAAACTAAACTATAACGTCGTCGTGGAGAGAAAAAAAATATTCATAAATGATGACAACATTCCAAATCTTACAATACACTCAGAGAATATGAATCATGTAATTTGCGAAAACATGTTCAAAAAGGAACATACGGTACAGATTGTCTTACAGCATCACTACATGTACCACATTAATCCAGTGTTTTACAGTATTCCACATTTGTCATCATCGGATACCAACGGACGAATTATTCACATTTATCAGCCGTGGGTTTTTTTCGCCGATATCCAGTCGATAAGAGGTATATCAAAGACAACTTTTTAATTGGTTGCCTCACTATTTCTTGAGACAATTAAAACCAATCAAAACGTTCTTTCTATATGGCATTTAATTTTGGTGAGACGTTATTTCTAGGAAAATTATAACTTTTGTGGTCTCTGCTTGTGGAATAATTTAGTTGGGGGATAATTTTGCCTTTTATATTAAGAAGACACGTGAAACAGTTTTACAACGTGGATACTGCCAGCTATTTTGTTTCTGATTACCTTCTTGTCGAAGAATGTGAATTTTGCTAAACACGGATTTCAAATTTGCACATGTTGCTGTATATCGACGCAATTTTACTCACGATTGATTACATGTTATGCTACATGTTAATCAACCGTGGGTATCCGACGATGATTGTTGCCGATTATTACATTGTTTGTATCATAATTGTGTAATAACAATTTGCAATAACATTTGTACACTTGTTAATAATATAATCATTATTGCATGAACTAGTATTTTTCTAATTAAAATGTTATTTTTCAATATTGCGTTGAAGTAAAACTTGTACACGTATTGCTAATATTAAAGTTTACATGTCATCTTAATATTTTTTCATTATTCACATTTCGACCGATTCTCGTATTGACGGATCTGGATCTAGTGTTTGATATATTTCAGGCATCGGTCTGCGAAAGACAAAAGAAACGAATCAAACAAATGAAGTCACAATGTCTGACTTAGAACCTAACACAGAACAAAACGAGTGTGTTACTAACACTTATGAAAATACCTGACCAAAATATTTATGAAGGTCTAAATAGGCAAGACAATGCTCCATCGGGTGAAAATGTACCAGCATCTGTATACAGAAACCAATTATTCAGATTGCGAAAGGTAAATACACAATAATTCGATAGTAATAAAGTTTTGTAAATGTCGAGTGTCATATACGAGTATAACACATCGGTAAATATTGAAAATAATTTCTTTTGAATAAAGAAAAAATAAAACATAATCGTTGCATACAATACAGATTACATATACTATCTACCAAGCTTGATATACAAAGTGGTATATTTTCCGTCCTTTTGAATCGCGTTAATGTACTTTGGCTGTGCCAAAGGCACATGAGATTTCTCCTGTAATTTAGCCAGACAATTAATACAAAAACTTAACGAGTAACAAAGGAATCAAACAATGGAAAATTTTACTTTATTTCAATTTGTGTTTTATTTTGATATAATGTTAGCAGCTATGTTGAAAATTCCCCAAATGGTTTATTTGTTACAATACCATCAAACGTAAAATTCAAATATTGCTTTTTCCTATGGTTAAATCAATTAATGTACATTTGCACCACCATTCTGTTAAATTACAGTACATGTATGTCATATTCAAATTATATGGCAAATATAACGTACCGTCTTTAAAATAAGTCACGCTTCCTTATGGTGTTTATTATAACTTATTTCGACAATTCATTTTTATTTCTTTACAGCAAAACTCAAAACGTTAGTCATCGACAGTCGGACACAAACAGTTTAGAAAAAGAGCATAACAATACGCCTGATAAGGATAGTATTTGTGACAGCATACATCGTGAGAACTCGTCAAATGAATATGAAAGTTATAAAACTAACGCAACTGATCAGATGTACGAAACACTACAAAAAGACAAATGACACATATTTAGAACGGCGTTACCTAAGATTAAGGAACACGAGGTTTTTTTGTCATATCTTTAAACTAGACATTTCGCGTGACTTAAATGAACGCTAGAACTTGTGAAACTTTAGGGCTAATATACACATGTTTAAGCTAAATGTGTTGAAAGAGATGTAATTGTTATCAATAGTTTTGTAAGAAGAATTCAGCAACACCTTTAATAATCTGATAGATTCCATGCATACATATGAAGCATCTATAATAAATTGATATGATGAAGTTGGATTTATAATAATAATATTCTTATCTAGAGAAAAAGGAAACATGTATACTTTTTATGACGGCCTTATGATTTAACAATGACAAAGAAATAGACAAATAATTTATAACGAAACAAAGAAAAGTACTTGTAGATCTATACAAAATTTGAAATCTTTTTTGTTCAAACAAAATTTTTTATGTATCTTAATAATGTAAAGCTAAGATATTTTTATTCATTCAATCGACTGACAATCGTATTAATCATATTATTTATAGATTAACTCATTATAATAAAAACATCATCATCAATAGCTAACAATTTAAAGTGGTTTCAGTTATCATCATGTGTCTAATTGTAAAATAAGAAAAAACATTTTCAGCTGGTTTTGAAAGATTATAATGCCAAATATTGCTTAATAGTAAAATGTAATTTGTTCCAGACGAATGCTTAAAATACATATAAGAATTATTGGAATAATAAGTATGATGTATAGTATTCAGTACAAGTTCCTTATGAGCGATAAAGCGTAAATTAAGCAATTCATTGTGAGAGAAACTTGCAATTTCACTACATATAGAACGATAGTTATGAGATTTATACACCATAATTGTAGTGTAGTATTAAACCCTAAAATTGAGAAACATTTAATTTTGGTGAACGTGTCGGTCGATTAAGTTTTATTTATATTGTTACAGAACTAATCTGGCCATTCCATAAAATATAATAAGCACATTTTTTAAGATAATGAGCATATTTATGTAGAACTATTGAGTTGTTTTAGGGTATTTCATTATTGTATTGTAGATTACTTTGACAGTGTTATTTAATTCACAGTTTTTGCAGTGATAACTTTGTACAAGTTGTAACATTTTAAAGGATGCGATTGTGATATCTAAGATTTACAACAGTTCTTCCATATATCATTGTGTTCTTTGTGTCAAGCTATCATCCCTAAACGATGAGAAGATACAAAATTAGTAACAGTTTTGTGAGTTTCCAATCAGCGGATGACTATGGAATGTAACATTTCAATAATAAAGTTATGAAACGTTCATATAATCTACAACAGGAACTGACTAAGATCATCTTATCTCTTCTTCTTTAAGTACGCGATTTAAAAAAAAAAAGAATTAAAAAGAAAGCGGCTAATTTTAAATTTGTAAATATTTTTGATGTTCTAGATCATGTTCAAATTAATTCATGCTGAGCTTTTGAATAATTGATGTACATGCATGATTAAGTTTGAAGTGAATTTTTTGTAGTATGTTAAACTGCATATTGATAGCAGGAATGAATTTATATTTTACCTTCTTATTGCATAATTATACTACATATTTAGATATTGCAAATATCTGCTAAATCTAGCATCATGTTTCTTGTTGTACATAAAGTAATAATATGTTATGTTAAATTATATTTAGCTTAAAAGATGTTCTTCACAATGTATATGTTTTATTATTCAAGTTAGTCTTTTAAATAAAATCAGAAGAACAATCAAGGTTTTTTAATTTTTTTATTGCCGAGTAAACTATCCTTGCTAGAGATTGTTCTGATTCTGCAGTTTCAAACTTTAACTTGCTCTGACATCAGTTGACTGAACTTCGTTTTTACACTGCTATCAAACTATGTGTTTGATAGAAGAATAGCATGAAGCTTGTTAGAATTTATATTTTATATCACATTTTCTATGTATGATTTGGACAATGTTCGTCCAACTTTAAGTCACACCTTGGTTTGGAACGTTGTTTTTTGTTTGTTCAAACTTTATGTCAAGCTTTCTTTTGATAAGTTATCAATACCTTTGACAACAGAAAATAAAACTTTTGACATCGGTTAGCTGTTAGCCATGTTCAGTCCTTACAATGTTTTGGTTTACTCCGTGATGCCACCATAGGGAAGAGCAAATTTAAAATAAATTTACTGAAAATTCACCTTTCGAATTATTTTTTATACACAAACGGCTAATTCAAGATACAATGAAAGAAAATATAAGATGATAACTTATCTAATATTGCCGACCATGTAACGTTCAACATTGAAAGTTGCACTGATAGGAACACTGGTTGAATCAAAACGTCATTCAGACAAATATTCCGTAAAAGGGATATGACTCGGCAACTGAAAACTCTAGCTGGACTTAAATTCGTCTGTTGATGATGAAAAAAATAATTAATTTAACTGTATTTATTTATTTATTTATCTTTTATGAATATATGAATAGGCTAAATCTAGCTGTGTAACATGATATATAAACTTTAACGTTTTTCCTTTTCCACTGAAATGCACAGATGTTTACAAATTCAATATTACATTTACCCCGAAGTAAATGTAAAAATATATATATACACATTAAATGAAAAGGAAAAATATAGGTTATAAACAAAATCGCTCAACCAACCAACTATTTAAAAAACCTTTAAACTTAAAACTCGAGTCAATTTGTTTTTCGTATTGTAAACAATTTATGTTACGTATTTTGAAATGGTTAATTAGTTGTTTAAGCAAAAAAGTTATATTATTTGTTGAAACAAGGATGTAAATGATGATTTTATTCTTGATCTTCCTTCTTATATGTTGTATACATGGTAAGTAAATTCATATGTTATTTATGTCATAGGCAAATTAAACGATAGAAATGGGAAATTTATATTTAATCGATTCAAAACGTCACTGTGTAATGTTTACTACGAAATATCCCACGAACTATTTTGGAAATCTTTTTACATCATCGCATCATACTGACTTGTTTACTTTAAATAATAAAAAATGAAATTGTAGTTAAGTAATTGATATTGAATATGGTAATACTAACTGTGTGAAAAGCTAATCGTCGTATGATAAGGAACTTTTATTACACTAAGATATATGTATTTCAGATTCAAACGGTCAATCACGACTTTGTGGCGATGAATATAAACCAGGTATGTTCGCGATAAATACCCATTCATATAATCATAAAGATATATACATAAGCTGATATTTACTTTTCTTTGAAAATAATGAGCTACCATGTAATATATCTTAAATCTCGAAGTATTTCGAGCAGTACGTTATTATAAGACGCATACATGTATGGTAAGATGGATAGGACTCGATATGGAGATAATGCATCCGTTTACATTGCTTTAGAATACTTTAAAGATGTACGAACTTCTAATGCGTCAGTTACGACAGATGTAAAACCAGATAAACCTAGACATAATGTTCTTTATTTTTCATGAAATGTCCGACACAGATATATAAATGTCGCGCGAATTGTGGATATCAACCTTATTAGTTACTGATAGTAGAGTGATAATTTAATCAATGCTGTAGTATGCATGTGTAGACAATATGAATCATTGCCCCTCCAACTCTGTTTAATGTGCAAAAAAATTCGGTGTATTATGTCGTCTATTCGTCCGCACCTCCTTAAAAAGATTTGTGTCATCTCTGCATATTTGACGATATGTTAACCATAACGTTGCAATTATCAAATTGCACGTTTGGATTCCTTCATAAACTACAAGTTTTGAGTCCACTTAATTAAGGTATAATCCACCTAATGCATTACCTCCACTTTGAAGAGTATTCAAATAGGCTAGATCTACTGTCAATTGCATTGTAACTGAGGGGCGCGGGTTCAAGCCCCAGAAGAGGCAACTTTTTTTCTTTCTTTTCTTTTTCTTTGAACATTATTTGTGTCTCTCAGATCACTATTCAGAAGAAAATAGTGTTTTATTTTAATTATGAAATAATAATTGGCATTTTGGGCTAAATTGTGCCAAATTTATTATCAAATATGGTACCTGATATTTTCAAAGTCTAATAAAATAAAAACTAGATGGTAAAAGTATTTTATATTTGACAAGCGCAACCAATATACTTTTAAGAAAATTTATGCAAATTTTGAAAACAGCCCCTGATTTAGGTAAATTTTAGGGATATTTTGAATCAAGTAGAAAAATGATCAAACAACTACTTAAAATTGGTGGGGTAGGGTAACATTTATATACCTATTTCAAACATTTTGAGTAGAAACAATAATTTTTATGGGTCATTTGTTAGCTGATTGCTATTATTTGTTTCTTAAAAATGTTTCATGGAAAACATTTTTTCATAATGATTATAAAATAGAATATTTAGAGTTTCTCATTTCTGAAAAAGAGCCCTTCTAATAGCCAATTTTTACTTAAGAAAAATCTCCAGAACTCATAAAAACCATACGGTAAACTTTGTTTAAATTTTGCATTCTTGTGTCTTTTAAGGTATATAACTGACCTATGTTGTCAATTTTATAGTTCCTTATAGTGCCCATTAGTGGACTCATACCTTAATATCTGTTGAACATTTGGTAAATATTTAAATCATAATCAGACGATGTTATCCGAAAAGATTTTTAAAAATAGATCGGAGTGAGGATACAATGTACTATGTGATCACTTTTTATGTAAACTGTATAAAAGGGATAACTTTTTTGTCAGTAACAATAACATTCCCAATGTAGGGTAATCTACCAAATATCATAGTCCTGAGGCCAGCAGATTAGGCTAAACACCATAAACGTTTGATCGTTGTTGTTTATGATTATTATAATTGGTGTTTTAAAAATATATTAGGATTCGTGTTAAGTCTTTGGGAACTTTTTGATCCTGAAATATCTTTAATAATATATTTAGAGTTATAGAATGACATCTTAATATAGCAGAGAAACAATAATTAGATTGACAACTAGAATAAAAACTCTTCTTTTTTGACATTTATCGTAACACTTTCTCCTAACAACAACAATCGATTATAATTTCTTAAACGCTTCTTGTTTTGTTACGTCTAGTTGTAAAAATATGCAGCAACGACAATTTGACGTCAAATGAACTTGCCTACATAACAACAACAAGAGTTCCGACGTTTCAGCAGACACTTTGTGAGTGTTCTATAACTTCAAGCACTTCAGAGGTCGATATTTTATTCTCTTTTGTTGATGATATGGTTCCTCAAAGCTTAAGCTTTAAAGTCAACAATAATGAAATAGAGTCAGGAGGGGAACATACATTCACAACAAAGGATCGAAGTTTTATGCTTTCTGTCCATACAAATGATAATTACACATATGAAGGTGCTTGCTTAATGGTTTCCTCAGGTATGATGATAACGTCAGGTAATTTCTACATATATTTTAACTATATAAACCAGTTGTGTGCGAGCCTGGTGTATGAATGATTTACTGACGATTGAAAGTCTTTACACGACAAAATCATTCCTATCAGGATCCTTTCTGTCTGATTGCATTATGTGAACCATTCCATATTTTTACCAGTTTTTGTATTCATGTCAACTCATGTTTACTTACGTCACATATTAAAACCTGACTGAAGAATAATAATAATCTATTAATGACAAGTGATATTAATAAAACATTTAGTTTTCTTAATTTTCTTAATCGTAGGATTAATCAAAAATAATTCTGATTAGGAAAGACTTAATAAGTCACTGAGAAGATTAGATTTACTTACATTCCTATGTGTTATAAATTGTTTCAACTTAAAGTGTATCGCCTTCCAGAAGTAAAAACCAGGGACAAAACTTAAATTTAAATGAAATTAGGTCATTTTGTTTCATTAAATGAAAGAAATGAAAGCTCGAATGTCGAGGGATCACTTTGTTTCATATTTTTATACTTCACAACAGCAGGTGTCAAGTGCTGTGTGGCAGCTGTAAAATGTTGCCCCGTAGTTCACTTCAGTGTTGTTATATTTTTCTGGTCCTTTCGGGCTCATTGATGCCAGCACTATTCAGTATTGAGAATTGAGTACCGCTCATTATGCTTCATGTACAGACTCAATCAGACCGAGTGTTCAATTCTCTTGTATTTTTGTTGTGATTAATGCTTCCGATGGATCACATTGTTACCAGAAATGCACATGTATCGGTTGAACAAAATAACTTTAGCGTCGTGGTAAATGATAGAATGCAACCTTAATTACAATTACAATGCCAAATCTTACAACATACTCACAGAATATAAAGTAAAAAATAACTTACATTTATCATGTCAACAAGCACGCAGAAAAAAATGCAATGGTTCGTGTGATGTTGTGGTTAGCATACTGAACCGACAATCCAAGGACTGCGTGGTTCGAGTCATTGTTGCAATTTTTCGTGTTTTTTTTTCTGTTTATATATTATAACTAACATTTAAAATACCTATTTCAGATACATATTTCAATGTTCTATGTGACCGTACATTGCCTCATACTACAACAGCAATGACATCATCATCGTTAGATCCTGACTCAAGTTCAAGTGTGAGTACAAACAAGTATAAGGAAAAATCAACAGACGAGGACAACAACCATATACTAAGTGTGTATTAAGATAATAATAAAAGAAACGTGAGATTAATAAACAAATTAATAAATTGTAGCACATATTTTTTCTATAAAAGATAAAAAAAATATCTTAAACTTAAAACATGTTTTAAAAGAATTTCTTTTTGTTGTTCATATTTTCATATTTTCTGTAATAAAAAAAACCCCTACAAATATATAAAATGAACAAGATACAATACGTGTCTGATAATTTTGTTTTAAACAGTATTAAAAAAAATAATAAATTTTTAACAATTTGTTGTTGCATTGCTTCTATATTTAAATTATGTTTATAAGAATCGACTTATTATTGCACTGTAGCCCTGATTGTGTTACCGGTACTTGGTGGCAGTGTCATTGTCATCTTGGTAATCATTTTCGTGATTTGTATGAAAAGGTTCGTTTTAATTTTTTTTTCTTTGTGCCTTTTTGTTCTGCGATAAATGACTGAGATACCTAACTATTTGAAACACATAGTGTGATTTGCGAAATAATGTTCAAAACGACATGTGCCTTGCAGTATTGCTTGGTAGCAACAGTAGCTTATTCTAGTGATTAATAGTACTGCATATTTGTTGCTGATCATAGCATTGTTTTAGCACTGTTATTGTTTTACAAACTATTTGTAGTTACATTTATTTTGCAAACTTGTTAATTATACAGTTATTTGTATAAACGTACTATGAGTAGTAACAGTATCAAATGTGTTTCTGATTAAGATGTTTTTTAAAAATACATGTTAGTATATAAATAACACATGGGTTTGTGGGCAACAGTAAAAATATCATCCCGAGGAAAATACTGTTACCCGAGGCGTAGCCGAGGGTAACAGTATTTTTACGAGGGATGATATTTTTACTGTTACTCCCAAACCCAGTGTGTTATTTTATTTTATTACCCGGAACAAAAATACTGTGATGATCTGAAAGTGTCAACTAAATCTAACTTAACAAAATAAACCAAGAGTAACAATAACTAAACTGTCCTTACCTTTTAAGTTTTAAGTGTACTTTAGGCCTACTTGAGAAGTTTTCTTTTTTCTTTTATTCTTTAAGCAAGTGATGATATCTACAAATCATAAAACATACAATAAGCTAGGTTTTATTTAGAAAACAAAACATTAACCCATTTAACGGTAATGATCTGTTGAAATCTGATCCTTTTTGTTTCCAGAATACTCTTAACATGGTTTTGACAAAAACAGCGATGATATCCTATGTCTGTCCACCATATCTGTAACGTTTCACTGATTAAAAATTGTTAAATAATCCTTTGTTGCAATGCTTAAAAACGTCTGCATGTTCCAGTTTGACACAAAAATTATTTACATTGCAATTACTTCGTTGAAAACGGATGTTCAATTTTTGACTATTCAACAAAAAGATATTTTATACGCGAAAAGCACACCAGGTGCGAACAACTAAAATTTTATGAGAGTCATAGTTACTCCAGAGAAGAAATTGATGTCCTATCGGGATTTAACGTCGAAAATAAGAATGAATCGAGAAAAAAATGGCGGCCATTTTATTTTATTTTATTTAGAAAATAGACCACGTGACCAGATTTTATACTGTTAAAAAAATACTGTTACCTATGTAACAGTACAAAATTCTTAGTCACGTGTGTACACTTGCATTAACAGTAAAAAATAACTCCCAGAGGCCTACGGGAAATTAGCATTAATGAAAAAAGTGAGGGTAAAATAAACAATTTGTACATGTGTTGCTAATAATAAAGTTACATGGCATCCATAACAATACATTATTTTTATTCATGATTTCCTATTAAAATAAGAGTTGCAAAGATGGTATCCATTGTCTGGTATATTTCAGGCATCGGGCGATTGAAAAGACAAGAGACCAAGCAATCAATCAAATAAAGTCACAATGTCGGGTTTAGTACCAAACATAGAGCAACGTGAATGTTGATACTAACACTTACGAAATACCTGACCAAAATGTTTATTGAGGTCTCGACAGACAAGGAAATGAATTACCGGCTGACACGTACCAACATCTTTATACAGAAACAAACAATTCACATGGCAAAAGGTAAGTACACAAAATTTTAAATAGCAATAACAAATTTGCAATGTCGAATGTCATAAATAAATAATAAGTAATTATCAATATAATAAATTTTGAATAAAGAATAAAATACATAATCGATGCACACAATGCAGTTTTATTTATGTCTTCCAAGCTTAATATATTAAGTGTTATATTTTCTGTCCCTTGACATACTATGATTAATTAGACTCGATATAGATTTATAACGGATTAAATAGTTAATCAAGAATTGAATATCATTTTGATAAAATGTTTTGAAAACTCTCAAAATGGTTAACATTTAGTGATAAATGTAATTGTTGCCTTATCTACGGGGAAAACAATTAATGTCATTTGCAACACCATTCTTATAAAACTAAAGTATGTGTCTGCAATATACAATGTAAATCGCACATATAACGTACGTTCAATACAACACGAAGGTGGTTATTATTACAATTCATTTCCATAATTTATTTTACTTCTTTTTAGTCAATATCTAAACCTTAATAACCAACAGTCGGACACAAACAATTTGGAAAACGAGTTTGAGAATACGTCTGGAAAAGGTAGTTTTAGTGACGGCATACACAATAAGAATTCGTCACATGAATATGAAAGATATAAAGCTAACGCAACTGATCAGATGTACGAAACACTACAAACAGACGAATGAACTTGGTCTAGACTAACTTTGCCGAATGATTAAGGAACACACACGAGTGACGTTAAGGGCATTAGCTCCCTTTAACCATGAAATTGAGGTTACATGTGACTTAAATGAATGATTTAACTTGCGAAGCTTATATAAATATGTTTTAGGATTAATAGAGTGTATTTTACGTGTACATATATTTAGAGTTTTGTTAGATAATTTCACCACATGCACACCTGTAATAATATGATAAATTCAAATCTGACCAATATTAAATTGTTTGGATTAGGTAAGAGTTCTTTTTTAAAAAAACAAATATTCAGATAAAAAGCATAACAATGTAAAACTATTGAGTTGTAAATAAAAAGAGGATACAGGAAAATAGTTGATGAAGACATCCTCTGATTTCCAAGTTAGCAGAAACACAACTATATGAACTAACATTTAAGACTGTGGACATACTAAATAAATCTTAGTCCTAACTATATACAGGTGTTCTGACTGTGTATACACAGTTAATTTCAAAGTATTTTAAGGATAAGCAATTTATGTTTTAATGCTTAGTGTAATTATATACCATTGCCAATTCATATTGATGGTGTAATTCAAAGAACCATTGAAACACAGTTTAATAGTAACCATGGTAACGTGATAATATATAAAACTGTTTTGACCATTTTCAAGCATTGTTGTTCATTTAAATATTTAAAATGGAACAAATTTTGATTAACTATGAACAAATTTTAAATAAAATCATAAAGAAAGCTATTATTCACAGAAATTACACCGTCAGCATGCAACTGATATTTATAAATATATAATGAAAAACTTGAAAATGTTTATTCTTGTGAATTGTGTGTTTATACTTTTGACTGACATAAAACTATAATATGTTTGTATCTGATTTTAAAAGATTTTAACGTTTTTGCACGTTAGACATAGTGCTCTCATACATATATATGTTTGAGCTAATTCTGAGACAGAGGCAAATTTGACCATTAGTGAACCTAGCCCTTTATATTTTACCTTCATTTAGAATATACGTATTTAGATATTGTAAAATGTCATG